TGGGCCCTTTGAGATCAAGAAACTGGCACATTAAATTTAAATCCGGATAATAAAGTTATTTTTTACAAATCGTCATTGGCTGCATTATCATTTTTTGGTAATACTATAAGATGTACTTTGTGATCCAACGGACCTAAAAACTAGACGTCTAAACCCAATGATCATTATGACATAACAGTTCAAAACCCCATTATAATTTGGTGGCCGTTTTACGACAGCACGAGAATCAATAATACCTCCATTTGCGATTACGTTCATATATCTCGTGACTTGGTTTTCAGCAGATGACAAAATTTCATTTAATGTTGGTTATTTTGTTCTTTGGACCAAAACATAAAATTTCTTTTCAAAAGTTCCCCTTCATTCTCATTCTCAATAAGTTTGTCAAAATTTGCCAAATCATTGGTACATGAAGATACATTCCAATCATTTTTAATGGCTTTTAATAAACCTAAGATGTTGACATATTTTAATTCAATTATTGAATAATTTACATCGCCAAAAATAATATCCACAAATCCGAATCTTCCATCTCCTCTTGGTTTGGAATTGTCCATCAATAAACACAATTCCGGAATCCCGTTATTAGGCAGTAAAAGTTCCGTAACCACTTGTAATACAGCTTCATTTGCGCTTAACAGCGAATAACTTGATCGCGATTTGAAAAAATTTAATAGTGTTTGTTTAAAGGTATTTATATCGTTTATTGATTCTACAGGTTGATTCTTGGAATCGATGTGGGAGGAATTAGAATCTATAGAACTTGCTTGTAAGATAGGATTCTTTTTCCTTTTTTTATTATTTACAGCATTTTGGGTAATTTGTATGTTTCTTGTTTTCCTTATTTTCATCTAGTTTTGACTGTATAAAAAAGAAAAAATCATTATATTAAAATCAGAATAGCTAAGTGCAAAGCATGCACAAACACAGTCGCACTCTCATATAATCACATCAGGACCTGTAAAAGGTGTTCTTATATAGAAATATGCTTAAAATGTGCTTATATAGAAAAAATGCTTAGAAGATGCTTATAGAAATGTGTTAAAAAGTGCTTATATAGAAAATGTGTTTAAAAAGTGCTTATATAAAAAACTTATAAATAGAATGTGCTTATATAGGGGTGCTTATATGGGAGTGCGACCGAATTCTAACTCGTAAGTTCTAAATTTTCTCGTTTTCGTAGAAGGCACGTAACTAACTTCTCCGAAATTAGTTGACCTCCCAAAGAAATTTGGGATGGCCAGATACAGGGGACCACACCCCTATTGTGACTCCCGGTGCGTAGGCGTTAGTCACGCACCCGAGTTCAGCTACTTGCGGGATATCCTTATTGGTGCGTAGGCAACAAGAGCACAAGAGCCTGGCAAAAAAGCCCCACCCCAAATATACTGTTTTAGAGAAAACGAGAAAACACGTGAAATATATGAAACTTACTTTCTTCTCTTTTAAGAGTCTTCTGACTATTTCGCGAAGTTTATTCGAGCTTTCTTTATCATCACTTATAACACTCAAAGCTTTGTAGAAAGTCATGTGGGCAATTCGTTTATTATTGTTATTATCTAACCAAGTGTCGTAGTGATATATTGACCAGTTTGGATAGAGAATGACTTCAAAATATTTTACGTAAGGAACTCCCCATTTTCTAATTTCTTTGAACGCTATTGAAAATATAGTATAGAAAATTTGAATAAGTTACATAGCAAAACGAATTCACATCTCAGATCCAATAACATACCAGGTGAAAGCTCCATACTGTCATCATGGTCCTGTAAATGTTCAACAATTTTTTTCATGCCATATTTCTGAACTAAACCATTAAAACTAATGAGTCTTTTTCTTCCATGATTTTAGAAAAGCTGAAACTAGTTTTAGTAAAAGAAACTGGTGTAAGTGTACTCTGCTAAAAATTGTAAGGAGTCGATTAAAGCCATGTACACACGTGACTTTTTTGTGTCGATCGACCAATCAAGATTGTGAAATTTTGCTTACACGGAT